GAGCAGGGGAATTGGGAGGGGTAGGGGAAAGGAAAAAGGGGAAAAGAAAAAATATGAGAAAATGAAAAAAATGGAAACAAAGTCTTTGCAAATAGGGAAGGGTGGAGGGGTGAAGGGAGGGGAAGGGAAGGGGAAAAAAAGTAAGACCCAAGATACTCGTGTAATGGTAAGGATACCAATGATGAATGTAACTGTATTGTATACCTAAAATGTACTAATAAACTTAATGGGGAAAAAATTATGCACTATACTCTTGCCAATTAAATTAGATCATATAGGACATGAATAAAAACATGTCAAGTTGTGGGAGCTGACAAAGTTAAAAAAAAAAAAAAACAAGAGGAATGAGGGCGTAGCTCAGTGGTGGAGAGGCCTGGTCCCTAGCACAAAAAGAAAAAACTATAAGGACTGGCTTCACATTCAGCATAGTCCAGGAACTCTCCTGAAAGCAACAGGATCGTCCCTAGGTTCTCTCTCTTTTTTTCTTAAAGATACATATTGAGAATCACAAAATGATAAAAAGTGTTCTTTAAAAAATTATGTCAAATCAAAGAAGTAATGACAGGAAAAATAACATTTAAGTATAAAACTCTTAGATTGCAGGGAGGACTTCATGTCAGGTGTAAGAACAAAGTAGCTTTTGTTCCTCTACCTTTCTTTTTTTGCATCTGTAGGTGTTGATAGTTAAGTTAACATATAAAGTAAGCCAAGCAGGTAAAGAAATTTCTATAAGTTCTAAAGGGTTTAAAACTTTTTTTAGTTTTTTTAGTGCTATTAAATAATAATACTTATTATTTTTTCTGGAAGTTCTGGCTTTAAGGATCTTGTTTTGGCGAGAATTAGATATTCTGTCTTAAGAAAAGGTGTGATTATCCTGAAAAAAAGATCCTTCAAACTTTATTTCCTTAAAACTATAAGACTTTCTTTTTAACAAGCAGAAAATTACAGAATTTACCTTAATCATCTTATCAAAACATCTGTCCTTTGAATGGTAATCATTAAGAAATCAAGCAATAACAAATCTTGGTGTGACTGTGGTAAAAAAGGAACTCTCCTCCATTGCTGGTGGGAATGCAAACTAGTACAACCATTATGGAAATCAGTATGGAGATTTCTCAAAGAACTGAAATTAGAAATTCCATATGACCCAGCTATCCCCCTTCTAGTATCTTCCCCAAAGAGCTTAAATCTCATCACACTACAGTGATACATGCACACCAATGTTTATAGAATCATAATTCATAACAGCTAAATCCTGGAAGCAGCCTATATATCCACCAGTAGATGACTGGAAAAATAAAATGTGGTATCTATATATGATGGAATACTACGGGGCTATAAAGAATGACAAATCTGAGACATTTGTAGGAAAATGGATGCACCTGGAAAATATAATGCTGAGTGAAATAAACCAGACACACAAGCTTAAATACTGTATGGTATCTTTCATTTGAGTGAGCCAAAGTACAAACAAAGAAAATGATAAAGGATGGATAAAAAGGTACAAGGAGACTGGTCTCTTGCAATAAAGAAGTGGTCCAAGGGAACAAGGGCAAAGGGGTGAAGAGGAGGGGAGAGGAAATAAGAAGAATAAAGACATGCCAGGTACAGGAACCTAATAACCCCAACTAATGTAAAGATTATAGGCCATAATATGAACTAAGACAAATAATATCAACAGGAATAAAAAAATGGGTTAAGGAAACTAGAGGAGGAGGGAGAGGAGGTGAAGGGAAGGGGAAAGGGATTAAAAAAAAAGAAACAGGCTGTAATATGCACATGTAACTATTCCCCATGAACTGCAAACACATACAAATAAAATTTAAAAACCCTAAAAAAAAAAACTATCCTTCAATTTACCATCTCATTTGATGATATATGAAGCATATCAGTAAGTTAAAAAAACTCAGTAATGAATATATTCTTTACTTCTCTCCAAGTATGCATAGTGTGGTTCAATAACAATAGCTTGATGATTCACTAAGGAATCTGACAGCTGTTTGGATGTGAACTGTATATGAGATGGTATTTTAATTTCCCACTTAAATCTTTTCATTCTTCACAAGCAATCCTATATTACCGTTTCATGCTTCTTAAAAACAAGTTATTCTTTATGACTGACTGACTGGTTCATTGTGCTTAAGCAGCATTAATCCACTGTTAATTATAATCCTTCACAAAGTCATCTGATGCTTTGAAAAGGAAGTTCAACAAATTGTTTTTGAAAACTTACTATTATTTTTCATAGTTTTTGTATGATTTGCATTTTAATATTTAAATTTCATCCATCTACTTAAAAGCTTATTTATTTGCTAGTATAACCCTCTGTTTTTATCAGATAGTTCTACGGACCCTTAAATTAAATTAATAGCAGTGCAGATAAAACTGTTTTGAAACTGTGTGCCACAGAACACTGCTTTGCAGAACAGCAAGAAAGTTTTGTTTCTGCAAAGTACTCAGCATCCAAATGAGTTTTTTGGGGAGGGAAATGAGATACATTTTTACTCTAGGGCTTTTCAAAGCCTTTAATGTGTCAATGAAATTGTGAATTTATGAGAGGGACACAATATGCAAAGTTTTCTGTACTTATTTGACCATAGTTTACTTTCTTCAGGACTTGTTCCAAATAACAGTTTAGAAAATGCTGCTTTACTTTTGCTTTATATTTAGTCACTGCTGATTATGTAATTAAAGTATGTATTGCCTTTGTGAAAATTTTTATAATTTACCTGTCCAAAATATTCTTTCATCCAAGCAGTTGGTTGCGGAAAGATAATTTTTAAAAAATAAAGTTAAGAGGGGGTAGGGGAAGAAGCGCACGATGTGCGCATGCCCTCTCCCTCGGCCACCGCTGCCACCTCCTTCTGCCGCTCCTGGAGCTGCTCCTGTGCTCCTTCGGTGCGGACCTGGTACCTCTTTTGTGAAGCGGCAGCTGAGAAGACTCGGGAGCTCGCTATGGTCAATGAAAAGCCCAAGGAAGGAGTCAAGACTGAGAACAATGATCATATTAATTTGAAGGTGGAGGGGCAGGATGGTTCTGTGGTGCAGTTTAAGATTAAGAGGCATACACCACTTAGTAAGCTAATGAAAGCCTACCGTGAACAACAGGGTTTGTCAATGAGGCAGATCAGATTCGGATTTGATGGACAGCCAATCAATGAAACAGACACACCTGCACAGTTGGAAATGGAAGACGAAGATACAATTGATGTGTTCCAGCAACAGACAGGAGGTGTCTACTAAAAAGGGAACCTGCAGGAACTCTACTCCAGAACTCCGTTCTTACAGACCAAGAATACATTCTCAATTAGAAAACTGCAATTTGGTTCCACCACATCCTGACGACTACAGTATAGTTTTCTCTATTCTTTCATTTACCCCTTCCCCATTCCTTTATTGTACATAAAGTATCCGGTGTATGTGCACAAGCATATTGCATTTTTTTTAAACTAAATGGCCAACAATATGTTTTGATTGACATCAGATGGAGATGGGATGGGGAGATACTGGTTCTGTGAAAATAATTCCCTCTCTCCATTAGTGGCATTGCTCATCAGCTCTTATCTTTATATTCCAGTAAGTTATTTTGCTCTCACTGTTTTAACAGAAAAGACAACATAAAAATCCTTGCATACTTTGTTTGATTGGAGACTTTTAATGTTTTTCATTTATCACTGTAAAACCAAGGACAATTTTATAACTTTTTTGTACATAGCTGTTACATGTAGGGCAATCTGTCTTTATGTAGGAATAAATTACTCTTTAAAAGAAAAAGAATCCTAGATAGTTTTCCCTTTAAGTCAAGTGTCTTGTTTAAATAAACTTGTTTAAAATGAAAAAAAAATAAAGTTAAGATAAATCAAGAAAGATTTTTATTCATTATACTTTTATTGAGAAGGCAGATAATGTGGTCAAGTATTCAGAAATACTCTGATTAAAAATAAAAGAAATAGTGATTTTAAAGAATATTTGTGTGGTCACTTCGGCAGCACATATACTAGAATTGGAATGATACAGAGAAGATTAGCATGTCCCCGGCACAAAGATGACATGCAAATTCATGAAACATTCCATATTTTTTAAAAAAAAGAATATTTGTTTATAGGGAACATTAACTTATATTTGATACTTTAAGTCCTGGAAAGGTGATAAGATAGAGAAAAAAAAATTTGTTTCTTAGTGTTGGGGGTTGAAACCAGAGCCTATCACAGAGCTAAGCATATGCTCTACCATTGAGCTACACTCCCAGTTAAAAGTTTTGCATTCACTAATTTAATGTTTATGAATTATTTACTGTGTGGCAAGAATAGTGGTAGGCCATGAATATACAGCAGAGAACAAAACAGCCATGATTCTTATAGTTTGTAGTTTAGTTTTTCCATTTTAAAATATATTGCTTATATGTTTTAAACACTCTAGAATTGCTTTATTTATTTATGTACCAGGGATTGAACTCAGGACCTTGCGCTTATGAGGCAGGTGGCTGCACCACTGAGCTAAATCCCCGGCCCTATATTTCTTTATTTTTGTGGTACTGGGAACTACAGGAGTGCTCTACCACTGAGCTACAACCCTAGCCCTTTTTACTTTTTCTTCTGTGAGTGTCTCACCAAATTGCCCAGGCTGACCTCAAACCTGAAATCCTCTTTTCTCAGACTCCTGAGTAGCCTGAGTAGCTGGAAATAGAGGCATGCACCATTGCAACCACCTAGAACTGCCTTATTTTCCAAAATACCTTTGAAACTGTAATAGGTCATTATTTAAAAATCTCCAAAACTAGCCAAACACAGTGGCACACGTCTGTAATTCCAGCACTTTGTAAAGAGTAAGACAGGAGAATCACAAGTTCAAGGTCAGCCTGGTCAACTTAGCAAGACCCTATCTCAAAACAAAATTTAAAAAAGAGCTGGTAATATTTCTCAGTGCAAAGGCCCTGGGATCAATCCCCAGTGCCAAAAATAATTCCCCAAAATTATAATAATCTAATTTGCTTATGAGAGATGGTATGAATCATGCAATATAAGCACACAGTTAACAAGATGACAGAAAACATTTTACTTATACATTAGATGCTCATCATTTCTATCTCACAGTCTTATGTGTTACAATTATTTTATATGAAAATGCTATAGGATCCAATTCTTTTCAGTATATGATAACAACGTGAAACAAATTCAATCATGAGCCTTATACCCAAATATCATGCACAAACTTTAATTTCAGCCAGGCACAGTGGTGCACATTTATAATCCTAGCTACTCAGTGGCTGAGACAAAAGGATCAAAACTTTGAGGCCAGCCAAGGCAACTCAGCAAGACTTTGTCTCAAAAGAGAAAAAGAAGCCAGGTGTAGTGGGGCATGCCTGTAATCCCAGCACTCTGTAAGGTTCAGACAGGAAGATCACAAGAGTTCAACTCTAGCCTGGTGAATTTAGTGAGACCCTGTCTCAAAATAAAAATTATTAAAAGGCTTGGGGATATAGTTGAGTGGTAAAGAGACCTTGGGTTTAATCCCCAGTACTATCACCATTAAAAAAAAATCAATTCCAAATGAATTGAAACATAAATATGAATGGTAAACAATACAATTTTAGAAGAAAACACAGAAAAGTATCTTTATGATATCTTGTCAGGCAAAGATTAAATAGGACATTAAAAGGACTAACTATATAAGGGAAAATTATAAAATTTGATTTTTATTAACATTATTTAATTAGGGGATGGAGTACAGATCAGTGGCAGAGCACTTACTATCATGCAATATACAAAAATCCACAAATCAGTAAGAAGCAGATTACCCAAAAGAAAACAAATGGCCAAAAATCTGAATAAGTTATCCACAAGAGGATATTTAAATGGCCAAAAAATATAAAAAGGAGTTCAATTTTCTTAGTCATTAAGAAATGTATATTGAAATGACAATGTAAAATACTACATAGCCACTGGAGTGACTAAAAAGAAACAGACAATATCAAGTAATGACAAGGAGGTTCAGCAACTAGAATTTTTCTACACTACTGTCTGAAATGTAAACTAATACAACTGCTCTGGAAAACTGCTTCATAGTATCTATTAAAATTGATAACAGCCAGGCCAGGTGGCACACATTTGTAATCCCAGTTACCTGGATAGCTGAGGCAGGAAAATCATCAAGGTTGAGGCTAGCTCAAGTTTAACCCTGTCTCAAAGTAAAATTTTTTTAAAGTGTTGTGGATGGATCTCAGTGATAGAGTACTTGCACTTGCCTAGCATGTTTGAGACTCTGGGTTCCATTCCCAGTACCGCCAACACAACAACAACAAACAAACAAAAGCCACACATACACATATATGTGTCTGCATACACACACACACACACACCCCTATAAATAACTATCTATCCATCTATCCCATGACTCAGCAATCCCACTTGTAGGTAAATGCCTCTATAGAAATGTTACATATGTACACTCAAAAGACATATAAAAGAATGACCATGTCAGCATTGTTTATAACAGTAACTATGGAATTGATTCATATGTCTACCAAAAGAATTTATAAATAAATTATGGTATATCTGTACAACAGCAACCTACCTAGTAAGCAGAAAGAGCCATGAATATAGATAGCAACATGATATATTTCACAAACATAACACTGACCAAAGAGGGCAAAACTAAAAAGTTGTGTGGTATGATTTCATATATACAGGGTTCAAAACTAGGCTAAATTTATGTAGTGTTAGAAATCATGACAGTGGTTGTTCATTGAGAGGGAGAAGAGTCACGAATGGAAAGAGAGAGTACTACAGGGGTCTCTTTTGACTTACTGGTCAAGTTCTCTTTCTGGATTTGGATATTACAGACCTTGTTTAAAAAAAAAAAAAAAAGAGGGCCAGGAATTTAGCTCAGTGGTTCCGCCACCTGCCTTGCAAGCGCAAGGTCCAGAGTTCAATGCCCGGTACCCTAAAAAAAAAAAAAAAAAAAGAGAAGACACAGAAGAAGCAAGATGCAAGTCCAGACTTCCAGCTTTCCCAAGGCAAACTCAGGGGGCAATGAGGTGGATCAACTCGACAGCCATCCACCTAAACTCTCTAAAATGGTAACAGTGGAAGTAACAAAGCAGATGAATGAGGCTCTAGAAAAAAACCAAATCAGAAATAATTTCTCAGATAACTAGAGATGATGACCATAATGAAGGACATAGTTAGTGTATCTTAAGTGGATACAGATAAAAAAAAAATAGAAGAGGTTAGAAAAATGATGGAAACCATGAATGCCCAACATAGGAAAGAAACAGAATCCATGAAACAGATTCAAACATATATCCAGGAGATTAAAAATTCTATGGGACCAAGACAGTATATAAAGGTGCATATCTCCAATGATGAATGTCATTATATTGTACACCTAAATGTACCAATAAAAGGATATACAAAAAAAAAAAAATTCTATGGAAAGGACTGGGGATTTAGCTCAGTGGTGCCACCACCTGCCTCGCAAGAGCAAGGTCCCCAGCTCAATCCCTGGTACAAAAAAAACCCCACAAAACTTTATGGAAAGTATATAATAGTATATATCAACTAAGGTGAGGAGAGAATATCAGATCTATAAGCCATGTCAGCAGTTAGTGAACATGAAAAGAAAGATTTCTTAAAAATAGCAAAAAAACATGAAAAATCAATCCAACAACTGCTAGATGATACAAAGAAGAATAACATAAGATTGATCAGAGTCAATAAAAAAGCAGGAAATAGTACCAACATAATAAAAAAAAGCCTGTTCACAGAAGTAATGGCACAAAACTTCCCAAGAATGGAAAAAGAATGCGATATACAGATAAGTGAGACATACAAAACTCCAATTAGCCATGATCAGAAAAAAAAAAAAAACTACACCAAGGCATATAATAGCCAAGATTCCAGAAATTTAACGCAGAATACTAAAAGCTGTTAGAGAAAAGAAACAAATAATCCATAAAGGTAAGCCTATCAGAATCACAGATTCCTCAACCCAAACCCTTAAGTCACAGAGAGCTTGGAGTGAAGTATTTCAAGCCCTAAAAGAAAACTACCTCTGGGCCAGGGATTTAGCTCAGTGGTTCCGGTGCCTGCCTTGCAAGCACAAGGACCAGAGTTCGATCCCCGGTACCAAAAAAAAAAAGAAAACTACCTCCAACTAAGACTGTTATACCCTGCAAAATTATCTTTCAAAATTGATGGAGAAATAAGACTTCCACGACAGAGAACACCTGAAGAAATTCATGACCACAAGACCA